CAACATTTTTAAAGAGATTCTAGCTTGGTCCCCAGAGAACCCCAGAAACCTCTTTGCCATGTGTAAATGTATGTGTGTGCTTGGGCAGCTTATGAAAATCTATGCATTATGAAAATCTAGACGAAAGAATGGCAAAAAAAAAAAAGTTTACAGAAAGTTTTTACCTGCCCTTAATAAATCACTCTCCAAACAGCTAGAGGTACAGACATATTGAATCATATCTCATCTTGGGACTGATGGCCAATCAGCTCTAGCTCTTAGCAAACAATTCTTCTCATTATTAACTACCTTCATAAAGTCCATATTATTTATATGTACAAGCACTTCCTAAAATCAGAGAGGATAACAAATGTTTTTCTGTTTAAATACATACATCTCAAAACAGGACCTGTATAGTAATTTGATTTGAGACTCAAGATTCTGGAACTGGCAGAAAACCTGAGAGAAATTTAGTCTGACTGGCTCACTTTCAGTTCTGAGGGGTGTATGAATGTAAGGGAGGGATTTCCTCCAGCCTACTCTGCTTCTCCTAGTTAAAATGCTTAACTCTGAATCCTATTATTTATTTACAGGTACAGCCTCATTTAGCTCAGGCTACTCTCAAGCCAGCCTTGTAGAGGACAACCTTGAACTACCTCTGACTTCAGAGCCTCTTGCCTCCACCTCCTGATGCTGCGATTATAGGAATGTACCATCACATCTAGCTTTTACGGTGCTGTGGATTGGGCTCAAAGCTTTATCCTAGGTAAGCGCTCTGCAAACTGAGCTACACCCCATTCTCAAGTCTCCACATTTCCTCAAGCCCATGAGTAATTTCACCTGACCAATAACAGAACTAAAAACATTTCCCCTAAAGGTTTACAGACAATAGTATATGATATATTGACATTTATCCTAAAGAAATGAAAAGGCCAGGCAGTGGTGGAACACACCTTTGATCCAAGCACTTGGGAGGCAGAGTTGGGCAGATTTTTCTGAGTTCAAGGTCAGGCTGGGGTCTACAGAGTGAGTTCCAGAGTGAGTTCCAGGACAGCCAAAACAAACAAAAAAGAAATGAAAATATATGTTCTTACAAAAAGATGTACATAAAGATTTGTGGCAATGAAAGGGTTAGACTAACTTTGTAACCTGTATGTCTTCTAAAACCTATAGTTTTGAGTTTTAGGTTCAGGTTAAGCTAAAGCTTCTTAGTACGTTTCCAGAGAACGAGAAATGTGACCCTATCAGTGAGGACAGATAGAAAAAAAGCGAGCAAGCAATGACTTTCACTCAGCAAAAAGAACGACCAGAACCTCGTCTTTGAGATAATGTTTCTTAGCAACCAACCCAGACGGCCCCAATTCTTCTTCTGAGTAGCTCCTGACCTCCAGCCAAGAGCCTGAAGCCCTAAACTTCAAAGATGAGCTAACCACCCCCACCTTTAATTGCAGCTGCATCCACACTTGGCAGGACTGGCCAAGCTTGAGCACCTAAGACTAACCAATTATCTTACTTTATAGTTTCCTTATCCAATCTTAAATTGCCAAAACTGCAACTTCAAATTTCCCACATTTTTTTCTTTTAAAAACCTAAGGCCTTTGTCTCTCAGTGCCGCTCTTTGCTGACCGGCAGGGGTGACCCCATTGTGCAATGGTTAAATTAAACCTCTTGCTTTTGCATCGAGTCGTGGTCTGTGTGAGTTTCTGGGAAGGGCGCGATCTTGAACTCCTGAGCTGTGAGACCCCAGGTCTTACAGCAACTTTGTATGTGATAGTCAAAAACTGAAAATAGCCTGATTCTCCAAGTGAATAAAGAAACAAACTGTAGTATACACATACTCCAGAACACACTCCTCGACAAACAAGAACAAATAATTGAAACACGAAGTTTGGATGGATCTCACAAGCTTTATGGGTGAAAAAGAGCTGATATCAAAAGAGCAGGACCTATGTTAATCTAGTTTGCTGGCATTTTTATCTGTTTGTTTATTTATTTGTCATATTCCCCAGACCTGGAGTTACAGGCGCGTGTGTGCTGCCTGGCGTAGGTTCTGGCAACCCAACTTCAGTCCTCCAGGAAAGCATCAAGCACTCTTAATTGCTGAGCCATCTCTCTAGCCCCTAGCTAACACTCATAAGATGCTTAAAATTACAGAACAGGAGGACACATTTGTGGTTGGTTGGTGGCAGAAAGGCTGACAATGAAGGTCCACAAAGTGGTTCCTATGTAGCTGTTTGATGTTAAACATCCCCCATAGGTTCTGTGTTTAAACACTTGGTTTCTGGGGGGATGTGAAACCTTGCTAGTTAACAGTCGAGCTCTGCTTCCCGTTCATTCGTGCTCCGGATCTCCCAAGATGTGAGCAAGCCAGAAGTTCTCATCTCTGTGCATAGAGCTGCCTGGGATGACAACCTTCCCCACCAGCATGGACCAATACCTCCCGAAATGATGAGCCAGAACCAGTCTTTCTTCTCTTGAATATTCTCAGTATTCTTCCACAGCAATGAGAAAGGTAACTAATACTGTGATCATTAAGCAGTTTGGTATCTTGACGTACACATGCAGAGAAATTTAAATTCAGGACATGGCTGCTCTGGCAAGAGATCACATCCAAAGACCTTCTAGGTCTGTGTGATCCGGCCGGAATACAAACACGCCTGTAATCCAGGAGACAGAGGCATGCAAATCTCTGAGTTCAAGGCCAGCCTGGAATACAGGAAGTTTTAGTTCCAGGCATGATGTACACACCTTTAATCCCAAACAATGAAGGTAAAATTAGTTTGTAGACAGAAGCACCCATGTTTGAAAGTGATGTCTAATTGAGTGGAAAAAAAAAAAAAAAGACTAATCAGAGAAAGATTTGACAGAATAGAATATGCCCAACTCTCACAAGAAGAGAGAGGAAAGGGATGCTACTTAAGGGGCAGAGAGAGAGAGAGAGGAGGCAGTTTTACCAGGACAGTAGTAGAGAGACTGGTTGCAGAGAGAAAACTCAGGTGAAGACAGAACAAGCCAGAGAATGAGAAGGAGCCAGAAGATTAGAAAATATTGCTGGAGTTAGTTTGAGGCCAAACAGAGCAATTCCAGGGCTAAGAGAAACCAAATTGGAGAGGAGTCAGTTTGGAGAGGAGTTTGAGCCAGAACAGCTGAATTGAACCAGAGAGAACAACTGAAGTTGGAAGGGACAAGAAGTGTGAGCTTATTAAGCAGTAAGTCTCTGAGGCCTAGGTTAGATTGTACAGAGGCTAGAAGCTTCCAGGACTAGGTCTAGGTTAGCAGACAGAGGCAGTAAGCCTCCAAGACAACAACTACCTCAGGCGAATAAAAGTTCTTGTTCTGAAAGACCCCAGCCTCACACTAAGTTAAACATAGCTAATGCCATTTTGTGAGACATCACTGTTTTGTAAAACTCTGAAGGCCAGATGAGAAACTGGAAAATTACTGAGAAATCCTAGCTGTGTCACCCACTTGGGATATCTGTGGTCAGGCTGCCCCAGTCATACTAAAAACAGTTTGTGTTAATCACTCTCATAAATATCTGTGAGACTGTTTCAGCTAAGATAGGGAAAAACAAAATAACAGGTGGCGGGCCACGTCAAGGGGTCATCCTACCCCCCTTGACCACCCAGTTCCTGGAATCTTGGTGCCCCTGCCAAACTTTGACGCAAATTGTGGTCTCGTGTAAACGTACCAATCAGCCCCCTGTAACCATGCCCTCTCGCTTCTGTACCAGTGCTTCTGCCTCTAAAACCCTATAAAAACCCCAGCTTCCCATCTAGGGGGCGCGCAGGGTTCTCTCGAGTGACCTTGCTGCCCCGAGTACTCGTGAATCAAAATAAAAGCCTCTTGCTGTTTGCATCCGAAGGGACTCGTTGTTCTTTGGGAGGGGGTCTCTCTGACGGAAGATACCCTCCGGGGATCTTTCAGTTCCACACACAAATGAAAACTTTACAGAAGGAAGAGCTGGTGAAGTGAAAAATGTCTTGTTTAACCACTATATTCTGCCAAAGTCGCTTTTCTGGTTTAGTGGTGGGCTACAGCTGTGTAAGACAGTGCCATTGTCTTACCAGCTGCAGAAGGCTATCTGGGAGTTTGGACAACATTTGCACTCTCTCCTGAGTCTACAATTATTTCAAAGCAGATAAGTCTCAGATGGGGAAGGGGGGTGCAAATGTTTATTTCCAAAGCATTCATAATTGTTCACATGCAAAGCAGAGTACACTGAGCTCTGTGTATGACTAGCCCCGATGGTCCTCATGAGCCTGAAAAGCTGATTCATTGAATCCACCCCATTTCATAGTAAGAAAAACAAGAGCCCACAGAGGTGGGTGTGGTGGCACACTTCTAATCCTTGTTCTCTGGAAGCTGAGGCAGGAGGACAGCCAGATTAAGGCTGGCTTAGCCTATGTACATACCGAGCTCCTAGACTTTCTGATTCTAGGCTTGCTGCTTTATCCATCAGCACATTGAAATACCTCTTCACCAGCTGATGCTCTCAAGGATTCAGCAACGGGAAAATAAAAGCCTTTTTTTTTCCCCCTGCCCCACTAAGCCTTCAAAGTAGCAGGCTGCCTTCCCAGGACTTCAAGCAATCTCCTGCCAAGGGTTCTGCTTGGCCAGAGGCTCCAAAGGAAGGCTAAAGACTTCAGGTGTCGTAGGTGCCATAAACTGAACACAGGGAACCCAGGGTCCCAGGGCATCTGATGAAAGAGTTGGCTACTCCCAGAAGGGTGTGTCTGTGTTGAAGGCAGGCCCTCAGAGGCCTAGGCTATGACAGCCTCTCTAGTGGCCACTATCTGGCGTGGGGACTTGAAACTACCTCCCATGGCAAAAACCAAACCACAAGGGCTGTGTCCTTTGTGGGGGGGCAGGAGATCCAGCACTGGTCCCTTTACTCTATTGCCATAGTGAGGGTACGGGATACCCTGAGAAAGGCAACCCCTAACAGCAAGGCCTACTTCTGCTTCAGCCCAAGAGATCCAGGGTTCCCTGATGAGCAACTGCAGGAGCTCAGCTCTTACCATCGGCAGTTCCCACGCTCCCTCAGCAGCCTCGGAGCCAGAGTGGGCAGCAGCCAGTGCCCACGCTCAGCCATGGCATCACTGGCTACATGGCCCCCTCTAGGTCTTGGGCTGAGTGTTTCCTCACAACTTCCGGAGTTGCTAGGAGACCAGCACAACCCGACACAGCACAGCCCTGCCTGGACCTGTCCAATTTGTCCCGCAGCGGTTGAGGAGTCCAGCATGACAGGGCTGAGCTAACATTCTGTGTCCGGGGGTGTGCCACTGGCCTAGGGGAGAAGGCTCCAAGCCTGGATTTAGTCAGATCTTATCCTGGCGGAAAGGCGCATTCATTTCCTACCAAGAAAGTTACTGGAATCTGAATGAGGATTGTGTTGTTATGTTGGTTTCGTTGATTTTTAAACAAATGTTTACTGTAGGGAAGCAACCAAGGGGGAAGGGGGGGAGGAGAAGAGGAAAGGAGAAAGGGACACACACAGAGACACAGACACAAAGAGACAGAAAGAGAGCAGCCGGCAGCTAGCAGGAAGAGGCTTTGGCACTTGTATTTAGTCACCCTTTGATGTCCAGCCAGTGTTCCTTTCAGTGCTTGTGGTTTTAGATTTGTCAACTTCAAGGCACTTTGGTGCACCCAGTACTGCCATCCCGATAACCTGGTAAGCAGGATTTCAAGTAAACATCAGTTACAGGAGAACGTATTTCTGTTTGATGTTTGCTTGCTACTTCAGAGTCCTGATTTTCAGGAAAAGTATTCCTTCCAGAAACTGCCCACTGAAGTGTCTTTTATGGGTTAGCTGCACACTAAAATTAGTGAGGAATACACAAACTCTCACAGACCACAACAAAAAGCCAGACACAAGCCCTTTAAACCACACAGAAGTAGTCATCATTTATGCCTTCTTTAGAGTAGAGCCACTGAGTTGCTATTCTTAATTATTTTAATGTTATTTATGCGTCAGCATTTGTCTGTGTCTGTATGTATATTTCCACAGAGGCCAGAAGAGGGCACCTGATCCTCTAGAACCTGAATTATGTGTGGTTGTGAGTAGCCTGACATGGGTGCTTGGCACTGAACTGTTCTCTACAATAGCAAGTGCGCATTAACTGCTAGGATGTTAGCTATTCTTTTGGTCTTTCCACCATGAATTAAAGCAACACATGGACCTTATCACTCAGCTACCTGCTCTTAAACTCTGCAGCCTCTAGAACCATGTACCAAAGTAAACCACTATTCTTTACAAATTACCCAGTCTCAGGTATTCTGTTATAGTAACAGAAAAGAACTGAGATCAAACGGTGTTCTTAATGCCATCATCTTGGGGGCAGGGCACAAATATTCAGAACAAAGCACATAGAAACTTTCAAGGAATCTCTAGAAACGTTGTTTAACTTTGGGTTGGGCCGTCTAAGGGCTTAGGGAATGGGACCAGGACAGACAGACATAAGTTAAAGTAAGGCACTATACTTGCTCTATTCTTCATGCCATCTCAGGCTTCATTGGATGGCTGCAGAGCCTAGCCTGTGCTCTTCAGAGCCCATTGCATGACATAACCATGGTGAAAAGAAGTCCCAGACACAAAGTAAAACAAAACAAAACAATCAACAACAGTAACAAAGCAAACAAACAAACAAAAAACCTTTTCAATGGCTACAGGCCCTTTCTTAAAATAAAACCAAATAAATAGACAGATTTCCTATAACAAGTACAATATAATTTAAACCTGAAAAGCCCATTTGACAGGTTTCTGTTGTTGCAATTAAGCAATTTAATCTAAACTACTTCAGGTCTTGATTTCAGCCACGGTCACCCTAGTCTGTTGTTTTGGGACCGTGTTGAGAGAGAAAGGCATGTTAAGCAAGCTGCCCGCCTCCCTGGCAGAACAGAGCCAGGGAGACACACTCACAGTGACCTATGTCCTCCGTCAGGCCTCACCTTCTCACAGTGGATTCTACAAAGAACTCATTGAGGGACTAATGCCTTGATTAGATCAGAGCTCCTCTCTGGGGATTAAGCTTTCTGCACAAGAGTCTTTAGAGGGCGGGAGAGGCCAGTCATACTGGTCGTAGCATGTTGTTCTGCCTTTAACACTGAAGGTCTGCTGCCACTGAGTGCCACATCGGAAGTATGCGCTTCTCTCACTGGATGGCTGGACTGTTGGTGGCTTCCGGGAGGGAATGGATGGAACCTTGGAGTCTCAGGTTCTGCTTCCCTCAGGAATGGGCTAGAGCATGAAGAGCCAGGTTCATGCACAAGACTTCCGGCCTCTCCAGGGGTGTGGAGAAGAGTTTTCCCACTCTGCTGCAATTCGCTCTTTTTGATGAGATCGCCAGTACCAGATGACAGTGTTAAAGCTGGCGGTGATACTGCAGTGTTATGACCCTTCAGTTATGCTGCCATGCTAATAGCAGAGGGTATATGGGCAGACGCCCGAATGCAGGTCCAACGGCTGTTCCATGGTGGTCAGTGGCTTGCAGCGGTTGAGCAGGCTTCAGTGACAAATTCTTTGGGAAGAAGGGGAGTCCTTCTTCCCCCAGAATAAATAACTAGTCTCAAGGAGGTTGTGATGGAGGAACGGAGTGAGACAGAGAGTTTGTTTTGTGAGTCAGGGACATTATAAACCTTGGGCAGTGGGTGGGGTTTCGGGGATGCGTGTGTTTGCTTTGATGGAGCTAGGAGTGCCAGAAATACTTCAGCACAGTCCTGTCATAAGAAGGGGGGGACACAGAACTTAATTATCCTATGGGCAGCAGGGGGTGGGGGGAGGAGACTCCAGGTACAGTAAAAGGTCATTGGTAGAAAGCTAAGGTACCAAGACATCTCATCAGCGTGGAGGCATTTCCAGGAATCCCCAGGTGCACAGTAAACGGGTTTCTTGTCAGGAAAGGGTTGTCCCTGTAGTCTCCCTGAAGGCTGTGTGACACTCTTTAGAGGATCTGGGGCTTCCCCTGATCAGGTGGCGAGGAGGGAGGCCTAGATGAGGAAGGGAGCCAGCACCAAGCTCGGGAGCCTACGGGCAATGCCAGACTTCAACCTTATCAGCAGAGTCCAACAGTAGCGCTGTTAGAAAGGATGCAAATGGAATCTGTATTTCCCTCTAGCCTAGAGCCCACATGGTTTCTGACCGTATTTCTCGAGCCGGTTTGGAATTGGTATCCACCCTTAAGCCTCCTGAATTGAGCCAGATTTGCTCCGTTAACTTTAAAACCATTACTCCATGGTAGGGCACTTGCCCAGCATCTGAGGGTTAGGTTTAATCCCCAGCAAAAGAAGGGAAGAAGAAAAGGAAGGAGGGAGGTAGACAGGGATGGGCTTGGGCAGCTCCAGCTGTCTGATAAATAAATAATCCCTCAGCCTCACTGAAGAAAGTTCTAGAATCTTCAGGACTGGAGAGTGCCTTAACTGCTTTGAAACCTACCCTGAGCTGGCTCATGCCTAGCACTGGGTGTTCCACTGAGCATCAGGTGGGACCCCAAGAGGAAAGGACAGTGACACTACCTCTACCCAAAATAAACATCTTTCTCTGTTTGCATTCACACTAGAGATCGATTCAAAACACTATGAAACATAGTGTTTCAAAAAAAAGTTGAATATAGTTACAGCATGCCCTGGCAATTCGACTCCTTCATATAAAAGCAATAAATATAGTGCTAAAACTTAAAAAGAACTCAAATCCCCTATGTATGAATCCATAACCAACGGACTATTACTCACCAACAGAAGGAAGTGGGTACTGGTGGATGCTATGATGTGGGTGTGTCATGCATACAGCAGCCAATTCAAAGAGGCCAGACAAAAATAGGGCACATGTCAAATGAAGCAAATAAAATAAGGAAACCTTTTTTTTTTTTTTTTTTTGTGGACAGAAAGCAGATTGTTGGCCTCCAGAAAGGAGTAACTTAATGGTACACAGTTTCCTCCTTGCTGATAAGAATGTATTTTGGAACCACATAGGAATGCTGATTGCACAACACTGAGAATGTAGGAAAGGCTACAAAAGTGTTCACTTTAAAACGCTTTATTTTACATCGATACAAATGTAAATCAATGCAAATCCCGGGGTAAATTTAAAGATGGGAGGTGGATGAGAAGGAAATGTACAGATATAAATGCTCTGAAGATCTTTTTTTCCCTTTCTCAAATATGATTTCTGTTTTTAGCCATATACCATGTTAAGTGAAAATTCAATTATGTGAAGAATTTCTGTGGAGAGAGAGAGAGAGAAAAAAAAAAGAATTAGCCATCACAGGTGCTTCTTGTGTCAGTTAGATAACAGGATAATCGAGCATGGTCGGCTCTCAGGTGGTGTCAGCTGTGGCCCCAAGCCTGAGGATTGTCTATGCCTGTCACTCAGCCACGCAGCAGACGGGTGGCTTCAGCCTCTGTCCTTACTACTCTCCTATAGGGCCGGGGCTGGACAATCCATAGGTGCTGGATGCTTGGCATTTCTAATCAGATCTTGTATTTAAAAAAGTGTGTGTTATTCTCTAGAAATGCCATGTGTACACACACACAGTGCTCCTTTATGAACGAGCCATTCTGACACCTGTTTTAACGAGGGAAGGCCCATCATGTCATGCTTCCAGAGCCTCAGAGGTGCCCATGTGATAGAAAATGTCTCAAATGAGAAATGCTTAATAATTGAAGGGGAGAGATCAGAAGAACCTGGATGGGGGGAATCCCAAGGGATGGTTAGAGCCGGGGAGAAGAGCTTGGCTGTTGTTGGCTGATAGCGATGAAACAGGCTTCTGTTCTCACTGGCCTCTCTGTTTGAGGCAGAGGATTAATTGTTTAAGTAACAATATTCTTGGGAATGGCTCTAGGGTGCTTTAGAGTTCCAAGAGATATTTACCGTGCCAACCCCTTTTTGCAGACACCCAGTACAAGGTTTATAAAACAAAACACAATCACCCAAAGTCAGCCTCATCCTTCCCATGCCCTCATCCCTGCAGCATCTCTCTTGTCTTCTCCATTCTCTTTTTCTGCCTCCCCATTTTTGTCCTGAAAAGAAAAAAAATTGTAGTG